AAATTAATTTTTTATATAAATTACAATTTTGACAAAAAAAACATAACAAATTTTCGTTCTACAATTAATAATAATTATTATTTTCTGGTGGCAAATGATTTAAAAAAAACATCGCATTGTTTTGTCCGTTTATTTAACAGCATTTTAAGATTTTCAGGAAATGAGTATTTTTTTGACTTTTGCTCTCCATGTCTGTGTTTTTTTCCATAATTTTTTCAAAAATTTGTCAAGTTTTTATACTTTGCATGTCACAAATTTTTCCAGTCGGCGACCGAGGAACCAAAACCAAAAGTGGAAAAAATCTCTGTAATTTTTACGCTAAAAAACCAAGTCGGAGGTTTAGTCCGAGCTCTGCAAGCGTTCCAAGACCTCGGCATCAACGTAAATCACATCGAATCTCGTCCATCTCAACTAGCCGATAATCAAGTCGATTTCTTGGTAGATATTGACACCGATCAACGTAAATTAGATCAGTTAGGGCGTCTACTCAAAAGAGAAGTGCAAACTATGGTCATAGGTACTTATGGAAACGGTGAAGAGGACGAATTTCCTCCTCCCACTCCATTATCGGCAACTACGAGTTTCGGTGAGTGGTATTTCACTATTCCACTTTTGAGACACTCTTAGATTATTTCTGTTTCTAACTAATACTTATTTTATGCTCTTGAAAGATCCAGGCTTGAATACTGTTGTGTTATTTGGGGTCCTCATTATGAAATTTATATCAACATGTTAGAAAATGTTTTAAGGAAATTCGCTAAATATCTACAGGGTGCGCCAGAACTCGCGCCCCAGAGAAAAATGGTATATAAGGTAAATAACGTGTAAAATTAATAGCGCGGCAAAGCCGCTCGCCCCCAATAATACTTATAAAACATTTTCAAATAATTTACACGGTGTTTTTCAAAGATTTTTTGTTAGTGCTTAAATAATTAGCTGCTTTTTTTTTTCTTCAAATAACAAAAATATTTAACATTTTTCCCGAAATTCGCCTTAGTTTCCTCTTAAGTAAAAATGTTGAGAAAGGTTTGATGAGAAAACTTGTCGATTATAATATTTGTGAATCAGAAGTGTGTGTAATACTTACAAAACATTTTCGAATAATTAAAACGGTGTTTTTTCACTGATTTTTATTAGTGCTTAAATAATTAGCTTTGTTTTTTTTCAAATAAGAAAAATACCTAACATTTTTTTCTGAAATTCGCCATAGCTCCCTCTCAAGACACCAAATATTGAAGGTTTGATAAGAAAACTTGTCGATTACAGTATTTATGAATTAGATAGTGTGTGTAATTTTTGTAATACTTAAAAAACCTTGTACTTCGAATGAACAACAGAAGTCCTTCTACATTTTATTACTCTTCCCCAATTCACCTCTTTTTAAATGTTTTAGATTGTATAACAGTATTGAGGGCTTGGATCTGGCCATCTTCTTTCATAAATTTAGCTCTAAACCAGTTAAGGACAAACTTCTTGTCTACTTCTGGTTATGTTTGTAGTTAATTTTTAATTTTTCTTTCCTGTATGTATTATTTTTATTATTTTTTATGTACTTTAACTCGCCCAATTCTATTGTCCTCTATAGACTTATAGTCTGTTGGAAATAAATTATATTATTATTATTATTAATAAAATTCGCTTTATTATCATGGGTTCCACTTCACTACCGGGATATTACATTCTGCAATTATGAGGCATAAAAATGATTTCTTTTATATTATAGCGACTGTGAAAATTTCATTAACAGTAAACTTTATCGGTGATAAATTCCAGCTAAATGTTATTTTTAGACTTTGATGACATGCCTTGGTTTCCGAAGAAAATCTCAGATCTTGATCAAGCCCAAAATGTCCTAATGTATGGAGCTGAACTCGATGCTGATCATCCAGGCTTCAAAGATCCAGTTTACAGGAAAAGAAGAGAACAATTCTTTAGAATTGCAATGAATTATAAACAGTAAGTGGCATTTAAACGTAAGAAAGTTTCACAGTGACAGTACTTTTAGCGGCCAACCGATACCGAAGGTTCAGTACACTCCTGAAGAAATAAAAACGTGGTATGTAATTTATTTTTTTCCGAGTTGCCAAAATTTGTTAAAAAAACAGTTCTTTCATTAATCTAGCAAAAAATGAGTAATAATGAACAAGAAAATAAATATATTTTTTTCAAAACTCATACACTTTTATATGAGGTTATTAGGAAGCAATATTTGAATCTCAAAAGTGACCTATAAAATGATGTTAATTTAAATTTAAATAATAATAATTAATTTAATTTAAATAATAACTCGTGTCCGATCTCTATTGTTAATTATACTCTATGGTAATTATACAGCCCTCGGAATGTGGGTCTGAAAATTTGTTTTTTTTTGTAATAACTTTGGAACCAATTGACCAAATATTATAAAATTTGTAATTTGGAAATTTGAAAAACAGTTACTTAGAATAAAGTATTAAAAGAAATAAGCAAATAAAAAACACGTAAAAAATAATAATACAATTTATAGATTCTAAAAACCATCAAGTTTGCTTGATTTCTTCAACATCATAAGCTATTTAACAAAATAAATAACAAATCAAACAATAATTATTGAAATAAAATACTTAATTCTCTTCAGCTTTGATCTAAAGACTGAAACTTAAGAAACTTGAAATATAGTTTTAATTATTTCTAGGCTAATAACTTAAGGATAACGAAAAGTGAGTTATTTCAACATTCTTTCCTAATATTTTTTCATGATTTAGAGACTGCCACAGTTTCGGAAAAAAAGCATTTTGGATTTTTCAATCAGTTTAAGCAAAATTTTGCAAAATAATTAAGTTTTAGCAAAAAAAGTAAGTTTTTTGCTCAGAGAGGTGACTTTTAAACAGTTTCAAAAAAAAAACCTCTGAAAATAAATGAGTTTTGACTTAAAATCGTGATAAAACGCTCTAAGAAAACACAAACATCCTATTCAACCAAAATAAGTACTTAAAATTTCGTAAAATAACTAGGTTTTCGATTCGTAAGTCAAATCTTAAAAATTAATGAGTTTTTTAAAAAAATAACGTCATTTTCAACCAAAATTAACTATGGCGAAATAAATTAATTTTTAGTGAAAAAAAGTGACTTTTGGCACGGTTTGAGCAAAATTTCACAAGAATAAGTCACTCTCCAGGTCAAAAACGTACTAAAGCGCACAAAAAAACATCAATTTCAGCCAAAAATGGTTGATTTTGTGACCAATTTATGTGAAATAACTCAGTAAATTTACATAATTCGAATTAAACAAAATTTATGCAGGTTGTCCAAATTCTCTTAATTTTTTTCACTGCACAAATTTTTATGAAATTCTAATTTTATTTGTTTCTTTTTTTATGTTTTAGGAAAAAAAGTGAGTGCTTTGCTCTGAAAAGTGGTTTTTAAAAAACTGTTTAAAAAAAATCTCATAAAATAACTGAGTACACAAACGTGTTATTTAAACAAAATAATTAAAATTTGGTAAAAAAAATCGGTTTTGGACTTGTAAGTAAAATCTTGCAAAAAAGCTAAATTTTTAGAAAAATAATGTGTTTTTTACTTAAAAACGTTCTGAAATACTCGATAAAGACAAAAATAACGTCACTTTTAACAAAAATTAATTATTTTTAAAGAAAAGTGAACAAATATTCGCTCAGAAACGTGCCCAAACTTTTAACAAAAAAAAACAGTTGAGTAAAGTTTCACGAAAAAAAAATATTTTTCTCTCGAAAACGTAAACAAACACTGACAAAAAAGACACAAATAACGGAATTTTTGCATAAACTGGATAACTTTCGAGAAAAAAAAATTGGGGGAAAAAAGTGAATTTTGGACTCAAAATCACAATTTCGTTTCGAGGTCAAAAACGTACTAAAGCGCACAAAAAACGTCAATTTCGACCAAAAATGATTGATTTTTTGACCAGTTTATGTGAAAAACTCAATTAATTGTCCGAATTCTCTTATTTTTTCCATGTGAAATTTTTTCAATGCACAAAAACAATTGCTAATTTTTATTGAATTCTAATTTAATTGGTTTCAATTTCTTTTTTCTTATTTTCTAGTTCATTTTTATTGCTTATTTTATATATTTAACTCTTTAAAAGTATCACGTATACAGGGTGTCCCAGAAACAAAAAAATGTCATTCTAAAAAAAATTAGAGACTTAAAATATAGTTTAATTATTTCAAGGAATAAGGAATAAGAATTAGGAAAAATAAGTTATCTCAACACTCTTTCTTAATATTTTTTCATGACTGAAAAACATATTTCAGAGTTCAGTTAAAATGTCGATTTGTTTGATTTTTCGATCAGCTTAAGCAAAATTTTGCAAAATAAGTAAGCAAAAAAGTGAGTCTTTTGCTCAGAAAAGTGATTTTTAGACAGTTTAAAAAGAACCCTGAAAATAACTGAGTTTTTAGCTTAAAATCGTGATGAAACGCTCGAAAAAAACACAAACGTCCTATTCACTCAAAATAAGTAAAATTTCGTAAAATAACTAGGTTTAAGACTCGAAAGTAAAATTTTGCAAAAAGGCTAAATTTTAAAAAAAAATTACGTCATTTTCAACCAAAATTGATGATTTTCAAAGAAAGAAATTCGCTCACAAATGTGCTCAAAGACACAAAACCGTCGTTTTCATCCTAATAGGTAATTGTTAATTAATTTACATAATTTGCATTAAACAAAATTTATGCAGGTTGTTTAGATTCTCAACCAGTCAGAAAAAATTAAAGAGACTTTTAAAATATAATTTTAATTATTTCAAGGATAACTTAAAAGACTTAAGAAAAAAACACTGAAAAAAGACACAAATAACGGTATTTTCTGCATAAACTGTTGGCTTTTTGGGTACTATCGCGAAATAAATTAATTTTTAGTAAAAAAAAAATGAATTTTGTACTCAAAAACCCAGTTTCTTTTCGAGGTCAAAAATGTACTAAAGTGCACAAAAAACGTCGATTTATAAATTAAAAAAAAATAATCAAAAAATAAGTTTTGTTTATTTTTTTTTAATTTTTAGTAAACAACTAATGCAAAATTGAAAACAAGTCGAAAAAAATTGTTTTTTTCATTTTGATGAAGAATAGGCAATGTTCAGAAACAATATGATTTTTGAAGGATTCATGTATTTTCTGCATAAACTGTTGGCTTTTTGGGTAACTATCGCGAAATAAATTAATTTTTAGTGAAAAAATGTGAATTTTGTACTCAAAAACCCAGTTTCTTTTCGAGGTTAAAAATGTACTAAAGTGCACAAAAAACGCCAATTTCGATTTTTGACCAATTGATGTGAAAAAACTCAAATCATTTACATAATCAGAATTAAGTAATCAAAATTTATGCAGATTGTTATTTTTTTTTGATTTCTAATTTTTTTGTTTCAATAAGAGACTGACTCGTAAAATATAATCTTAGTTGTTTCAAGAATAATATTAATAACTTAAAGACTAAGAAAAAATGAGTAATCTCAACTTTCTTTCTTGAAATTTTTTCATGATTTCGTCACTTCTACATATCCTGAAAAACGCATTTCTGATTTCAATTAAAATGTCGGTTTGTTCAAGTCTTTCCTGTCGTAATGCAATTAAGAATGTAATTACTTGTAAAGGGGAACCGTCTTCCGCGAACTCCACAAACTTTATCAGAAGCACGCTTGTCGAGAGTACTTGGAAAATTGGCCTCAGTTAGAAAAATACTGCGGCTATCGAGAGGACAACATCCCTCAACTGGAAGACGTAAATGTGTTTCTAAAGCGAAAAACGGGCTTTCAACTCCGACCAGTTGCTGGATACTTGAGTCCAAGAGATTTCCTTTCTGGGTTGGCCTTCCGCGTCTTTCATTGCACCCAATACATTCGACACTCTTCGGACCCATTTTACACCCCTGAACCGTAATAATCCAATTTTCAGGGAATTTTATCACTACTGAAAATTGTTTTTTCAGTGATTGTTGTCATGAATTACTTGGACACATGCCGTTGCTCGCAAACCCCAGTTTTGCCCAATTTTCGCAAGAATTGGGGCTAGCGTCTCTGGGAGCCTCAGAAGAGGATGTCAACAAATTGGCAACAGTAATTACACTACTCCAAAAAAATTTTCTAACTCATCGAAAAAGCCCATTTTGAAGCTTTAAGTTTGTAGTTTTGAGAACTTTGGGCAAATATTTTTGTGTGGTATGGTTATCACGCAATTCTAAGTAATGGCGCGAGAAAAAAAATCTAAATTTTTATGTTTTTTTCTTGGTCCACGGACGTGGAGATTTTTTTTTAGTTAAGTCAGTTTTTAGGTAGAATAGCATCTTTGTTTACCTTTAATATGCTTTTTTGTATTTTCTTTACGTCAATTTGTCGCTGAGATCTGACTTTAAATGGAAAAGGATCCTCTTGTCTTTGATCATCAATATAAGGGTAGTGTCAAAAACTGGAATAAATGTCCTATAAGCCCCTTTTGAAAATATTTTTTTCACCTTTAACATTGATTTTAAAACAAAGAGAAAAAAGTAAATATTTTTGATTCAAGTGAGTTTTGTGCTCAAAAAGTGATTTTTAAACTGCTTGAAGAAAAATCTCATAAAATAACTGAGTCTTTATTAGCGTAAAATCGTGATTAAACGCTCGAAAAAAACATAAACGTTCTATTCAACCAAAATAAGTAAAATTTCGTAAAAATAAATAAATTTCATAAAAATTCGTAAGTAAAATTTTGCAAAAGAGCTAAATTAAAAAAAAATGAGTTTTTAACTTAAAATCGTTCTGAAATACGATAAAGACAAAAATAACGTCATTTTTAACGAAAATTAATGATTTCTAAAGAAAAGTGAACAAATATTCGCTCAGAAACGTGCCCAAACGTTTAACAAAAAAAAAAAAAAATAGTTTGAGTAGTTACACGAAAAAAAATTTTTCTCTAGAAAACGTAAACAAACACTGAAAAAAAGACACCAATAACGGTATTTTTGCATAAACTGTTGATTTTTTGAGTAACTTTCGAAAACAAAAATTGGGGGAAAAAAGTAAATTTTTTACTCAAAATCACAATTTCGTTTCGAGGTCAAAAACATACTAAGGCGCACAAAAAACGTCAATTTCGACCAAAAATGGTTGATTTTTCGACCAGTTTATGTGAAAAACTCAATTAATTGTCCTAATTCTCTTATTTTTTCTAAGTGAAATTGTTTCAATGCACAAAAAAGAATTGCTAATTTTTATTGAATTCTAATTTTATTTGTTTCAATTTCTTTTTTCT